AAGGAGGAGGAGGAGGGAGTGCCGAAGGCGGCGGAGGCGGAGGAGGCGGAAGAGGCGGAGGAGGCGGAGGGGCGCCATCGCGAGCACGAGCAAGGCGACGAGCAGCGGCAGCAGCGGCAGCAGCGGCTGCAGCGGCAGCAGCGGCAGCAGCAGCAACGGCGGCGGCAAGACGAGGACGAAGACGAGGACAAGGACGACGAGCCCGAGCTGGAGGAGCCGCGGCCGCCGCAGCAACAGCCGCAGAGGCCGCCCGGCAAGCGAGTCGGTGCGGGCGCGGCGCGGGCAGGCGCCGGGCGGCAGCAGCCACTGCGCAAGGGGCGCACCAAGCCAGCCGCCAAGCCCGCCGCGTCTTCCGCTGCCACGCCTGCTTCCAAGCCTGCTTCCAAGGCCGCCTCCAAGCCCGCCGACTCTTCTGCCGCCTCTTCTGCCGCCACTCCTGCCCCCGCTCCCGCCCCCGCTGCCTCCCCCGCTGCTACCGGCCCCGCCTCCGCCTCCTCGGCCGGCGCCGGCGCGGCGAGCGGCGTCGGTGCGGCGGCGGCGGTGCGGCAGCGCGCTGCACCGCTTGTGGCGGAGGCGGTCCGCCGCTACCACACCGACCACGGGACCGAACCCACGCTGGGTTCGAGACTTCTGGAGGTGCGGTACTAGGCGCGGGCGGGCGCGCCGGCGCGGCGCTCGAGCGGCGGCCGCGTGAGGCTCAAGCCGCTCGCGTCTCCCTAGACTTTTCCTGGACCTTTCCTAGACCTTTCCTAGAGGCTTCCTGTAGGATCAAGCCGCTCGCGTTTTGGGCAAACGAGGTTGTGTTGCGCGACAGCGACGGCTCGTACGCCGCCGCAGCCGTGGAGGGGGGCGGCGGCGGAGGCGGAGGAGGAGGGGTCTCTCTGCACCGTCTTGGCGCTCGGGCGCGCGACTTCACTGGAGGCTTGCTTCGCCTAGAAGCGGACACACGTAGTCTTGTCTAATATCCAAGCGCTAGAGAGGACGACTGCCTCCCGCTGCATTCGCTGTGTTCCCACCCCTTGTGCTCACACGGTACTCTGCATACTCTTGCCCGAGACAGACCTCCTCCCCTCCCCCCCCACACACCCGAGGGTGGCGCACTCCGGCACGTAGGCTTCCTCGGAGAATA